GATGAACACGGTGAGGAATTTCACCAGACATTGCTGCAATGGAGCAAGGTTTTAAGTTCATTGGCACCTGTCAAAGTTTGTTGATTACTGTGTACCCCTCTTCACGAAAATAAAGCATCATCAAATGAGTTGCCAACTGGCTAATGACATGATAAAATGCGAGCACTAATATTAGCGTTAGCGTCTGTGTCTAAGGCGTTGCTAACGAGCTTCGTAATGCCTGGATGCCGGGATCGATCCCAGCTGCTGGCCTTGCGTTGGTTTCGACAGTGGTATCGAGAAGCCGACAGTCCAGAAAACAATGGCAAACTACTGGACGTAAATTTGCCTAGAAAAACCAAAAAGCCAAAAAATGAAGAGGTTGGTTCTGCAATGTCACGTAAAGGATACGCAACTAACTAATAATATTAGCAACAGCATGCCAATACTTGGTGAAACAGTTGCAGCCGGGAGTAAGTAGTTGGTCTCAAAGCGCAGAGACAAATATTTGCATTCATTTAGTCAAGTTTCCAATGATACAATTGAAACTCTTCTTCGACTACTTAAGAAAAAGACCCTACACGCTGAACAAATCTTGAGTGCGGGTTGTCCATTCTATCATTCATCAATTTATTGATTTACTCCTTCTTTCAGTCAATATTTGTTAAAAAATAATCATCGGCTTGATTCATACCTTGCCTACTTGAATTAAAAGCTAACCTTGACCCATGTACGTGAATCTGATTACCCTAGATTTTTTTTGCCATATGTTTATGTACAGTTTCCAAGAGAACGGTCTAAAATAAGTTAGTCATAAAATACAATGTATGACATTAAATGAATATCTGTAGTAGACCATAATCAGGTCAGTATTACAAATAAGATCACCAAAGTCGGTCCTGTGTGAGAAAAAAAACAGATGTGCCTTAACCTATAAAGATTTCTTTTTTTTTTTTCTTACTAATTTCCCAGGTAAGTCAAATGTAAGCAACTTTAGTTGTGACTTTCGCTTTGGACTGTAAAGTGAGAAGCCAGCCATACATGAACAAGATGTGGCATCTAATAGACAGTTCGTTCTGGTGTGTGCTGTTTATTAGTTCCCTTTGTTGCGGTCAGGATCTGCTGACGAATCCCAGCTTTGAGAATGGCGTGACGGGATGGAAAGGTGAAGGCTTCACTTTGCAGACGGACACCAGCATTGCCCATGAAGGAGCAGCTTCCGCTTTGTGCACAGGAAGGTAAATTTATGTTTCCTAATTTACATATTTCAGTCATAGATACATATTACTTCAGATCAGCGGCCGTGGCATAATGACTGGACCCTCACATATGGATGTAAAGGTTGTAGGTTCAAGTCTGCATCCAGCTGATAAACATATTTAAAACATCAACATGTGGTAATACAAAATTATTACGTTTTCAGGTGACAGTATTTTTTTTTTCTTCGAGCTTTAAGATATAGATATAGACGACGTTAAAGTAACAGTTCGGGACATAATATATCAATGTATAAAAACTATCATAAGGAAAGACTTCATAATCATCCACCACATGCAGAGCAAAAAACAAACGTATTGTGAGTTCTGTAGTAATACAGTGACCATAAATTACATGAATATTCTCTATAAAACAATTATGGCAAATAATACTGCCGAAGTGTTTTATTTTCCAAGAAACCATCTTCTATATGAGCCACTTCTCCTAGATATTCAGATCCTGAAGAATATCAGTAATTTTCCTCTTCCTAAAAAATAATAATCTGACTCATGTCTCAAATAACAGAACTCAGGACTGGCAGGGCCCAACACAAGATATCATTCTCACTGGTGGGGGCAGATATGAATTTAGCGCGTACATCCAGCTCATCGATGATTCTCCGGGCAGACCAGATCAGCCCGTCTATGTGAGGATCACGTCCAGTTTCTCTAATGGTAAGAAGCCGTAGTCTATTATTTCTTACTTTTGCTTTACATAATTAAAGGTATACTCCTTTATCTCTGTTACTATACTCTTGGCCTCTGGGAAATGCCGTCATGCATTACATATCTTTTATTAGGTTTGTTGCAAAGCTAGTAGCGTGGCGATTGTGACCTTTTACAAGCAAACCTGTTCATTGTTAACTAAGGGGGGTTAACGTCTTGTCAAATAAATATGATTTTGGGTAGAACCATGCCCCTACTGTTAAACAACATTATGTGAGAGGGAGAGAATATGGAGACTTTCCTCTTCAGAACAAACAGCTGAGTGCACAAATGTCTTCTTACTGAAAACGAGGGTTCTATTGTGTACAAATGAGTCCATATTTACTACACATCCTCAATGCGAAGGACATATCGAAGACTACCGTAGGATTTGTTATATGCACAACGTATACACATTTATGCAAATGATTGAGATAGCTAATAATTCAGTCTACCACCTACTAATTGTTTTTAGTCCGCTTGAACGTGGTTAAACAATTTTTTTTTAAATAAAGAAGAGTGTAATGGAATTGTTGTCAGAACTGGAGAACAGCAGGACACATATTAATCTGGACATGGCCGCCTAGGAAGGATAAAGATTCACCAGGTTTTATATAACTGCAGAGGTGCACAAGCTGACCGTCAAGTCAAACGTAGAGATGAGATCATCTTCAGAAATCTTTGGTATATCGTGCAGAGACAGTGTCACACATGAAGCGAGCTAAATCATTACCCAGCACATCAAAAACTATGAAAATGTTTCAGAGTCAGTTGTCTATTTACATTTAGTAGTTTGCCACTGCCCTCAATGGTCGGCCTTGGACATCATTGACGAATTCGATGCATTATCTTTTAACTGCACTAAAATACGTAAAAATAATAATATGCAATAAAATATGCCGGACTGTAAAACATGGCTGGTTACAAGCAGAGCCAAGACAACATGGATCCAAACTTTGGATGATAAGAATGAAATCAATACTAAAATACAAAGTTCAGCAGGTTTGATCGCCAGAGATTGGTTGACCTGATAATATAATATTAACTCGGCAAATTTAACTCACACACACATGGGGGGGGGGGGGGCGTAACCTGGGAGCTCAGGCACAGTAAAGACCCCCTCCCTACAAAAAATAATAATTTAAGATGGAAGCTGAGTATTCCCTTCCCCACCCAATAAAAGTGTAGACAGCAAAGGACACTCAACCCTAACCCCATTTTGATGTTCTATTTTAAATCATGTATTTATATGTTTCTTTCATATATTTTTACTGTCATTTATGACATTATAATAACAACAACAATTAGTTTTGTTAAGATTATTGCACAATTAAACCTGCCTTGAGCCCCTCCCCCCCAAGCCACTAAAGATTATTGAGAGAGCTGAGCAACCCCCTCCCCCAATGTTTTCTTGTGCACTCGCGCCTGGACATACAAAGTGTCTGCGCTATTTAAGGGTGAAGTATGAAGCTTACATTGCTAGCCTGATAATGTTAATGACCCGTAAGCAGACGATAAACTTTACGATTTGTATCCCGCAGCCGCTTTTACTTCTCAAAACATTTCCTGCTTCTCGTTTGGATTGGGATCACCCCGGAGACCGTGTCGGGTTAAAACTTCACCGGAATAATCTTTGATGATAGACATCAATGTTTTCTCGTCTAGCCATATTACCAGATTGTGATCGATACCATCAGTATTGGAACTCTGCGGTGGTTGCTGAAGATGAGGACGGAGCATGCTTGGGAATGCCCCGAGTGCTGTGATGTCAGTTCTGGACTCAACTCAACTCAACTCGTCTGGTCAATGACCTGGGTTTCCTTGTTCCTCTATGTCCCATGCTGTTATATTACGTCATATTATTTCATACTATCATAATCGAGCTCGCTGCACACTGGGTATTTATATGTTTGCTGAACAGTCTCATCAAGCTTTGGATTTTTTACAGACGTGTGAACTGGGTAACTCCGTCTAAAATCGATGAAGCGATGTCCCATGTCTGAATTAACTCTCCCCGTAGCTATAACCAAATTTCGATGTGTTTATTCCTACAGGAACAACTAGCGTATTAGAGCTGGCCACGCGTATACGGGTGAGTCCCAGTGATGGATGGGTGCACGTTGGCGGAATATTCTTGTACCCAGACAATCGTATGTATACCGATATCTCTAGCTATCCTTCCTAATTATTGCTTCAGATAACTAAAAGAACATTCATTTGTCTATACTACTTACCTGATTGTATTACTATTTATCAACAATCACACAAATAGCACAGCCACTACCGCAGAAGAGATAAAATCAGGAATGAAGTGATAAAGGAAACTGGCCGCACAAAACCAACACTAAGTTACATAAAAAGGTGACAAATCAAATGGTTTGCCCTCTAGGAATTCCTTGCGATGCCATACTATACAAGGAATACACATAAAAAATGGAGAAGGACGTGGATCACAACGTAGACCAAGAACAAGATGAAATGTCAACGAAACTACAATAGCATGACTTGTCTATAGTCGAGCGGGTCAGAATAGCTATAGCAAAAAAAAAAAAAAACAAGAAGCCCAAATCTCTCTTGACACTAACAATTGTACAAGAGGAAGTTTAGAAGAAGAAAAAGAAAAAGAAGAAGAAGAAGAAGAAGAAGAAGAAGAAGAAGAAGAAGAAGAAGAAGAAGAAGAAGAAGAAGAAGAAGACGAAAAAAGAAGAAGAAGAAGAAAGAAAATGAATAACAACAATAATAACAGTAATAGTGATAATAATAGTAATAATAATAATAATAGTAATAATAATAATGATAATAATAGTAATAAAAAAAACAACAATAATAATAATATTAATAGTGACCCTAATAATAATAATAAGAAGAAGAAGACGCCCGCACGGTAGACATGAAGCTCCTTATACAAATTTAGAAAACTACGGAATAAAGAGTAACAGATAAGCAGCACTGGATTATTTATATCAGAAATGCTATACTGTCTACCGTTATATGCTACAATTTTGTTTTCTTCATTGTTAGTGCTAATGTTCAACTACTTTTTATTTCTTACGAATATAGAATACATAAGCGCTACCTTGAGTGTTGAAGGTCCGGCTGCTGGGGTTTCCTACTACTTTGATGACGCATCTCTTGTGGAAATACCCGAATACACTACATGGGAAGCTGACGCTAATGCACGCATTGAGGCTCACAGGAAAAACAATATTCGCTTCACGTAAGATTTTTCTGATTATAAAAAAAAAAAAATTCTCACTTGTTGAATTATTATCTTCAATTTCCACTTCTGCTGTTAAGCGTTGTCGAGCAGAACAGTTTGCGATCCATTGCTTGATGGGCAGCTATGAATATTGTCATTTTGAGTTAATGTAGAAGCTCGTTAATGTCATCAATCCATTTTTCCTAGAGCAGCTTCTTGCTGTCAATTTAGACCTGTTCATGTGTGTTGCTAGTTATCCAGGCTTCATTCTTACTGAATGACCAAACCATTTGATCTTCTGTTTCTCAATAAATTTGCTGCCTGGTGTTGTTCCTACAGTCTGATAATATTTCTAGCTTTGCTTCGGATGGTTATGCTGGCAACTTTTCTCAGACATCTGTTAATTTTACTTAGGTTAGCCTTTGATAATGTCCAAGTCCAGCACTGGTAGCACAGTGTTGGTATGAATATGCTGTTTTTATTTTTACTGCTACTAAAAAAAAGCACATATCAAGTTAGTACACAGCTACCGTAACTTAAGGAGAGAACTGTGAAATTATGACAACATAGAAACATCAAGTGCCGTCTCCCTAACAAAGGTTGAATGCTGTGAAACTGCTCTGGGTGTTAACTCTTTCATAATCATGTTAGTCCATCACTTAATAATTTCTTTCCAACTTTATCGGTCTCCTTCTTGCTAGTTTGCCTTAAACTTTTCATCCAGTACGGTTTTGATCAAAGTCATTTGGAGATAACAGTCAGTTTATAAAAAAAAAAAAAAAAGCATAACAAAATAAAGATATATACAAAATCATAGCGAGGGAAATATGTGGGCATTAAGAATTACTGACCTTCACAGCGTCTCGATCGTTAAATGCGCAAATATTAGCGTCTTAACAAATGTTACACTTTTCCCAATTGCACGAATTTTGAATTTTGAATTAAGAATCGACTTCACAGCAGTCGGGACACTCCGATAAGTGCTCCGTCTCCACGTTTAGCAGCAAGCAAAGAGTTCCAGCTCTGATGGCACCAGTAACTTTTTGATTGTATATCCATCTTGCCCTTGCCCTGAGTGTTGAGCCTGGGCCAGATCCCTAGTAACTTCTCTCAGCGGCTTGAATGTGGACAGTTGGTCTTTATATCGGACAGGCTACAATATGAATGAACAATCGGTTATTTCTTCCTGCTTGATATCTGGTGTGTGTGTGTGTGGGGGGGGGGGGGGGAGTTACTTCAATATCTGTTTCTTGTGCAGAAACCACTACATTCAGTCCCTGCATACATCTTCTTCTTCGCGTTGGACTTGTCCTCCCCCCCCCCCTCGTTTTATCCTATAACGCTTTATCTCGCTTCGCAGAGCTGTTGACAGTCCACCACGACCATCGCTCAAACCGCGTATTTCGTAGCATCTGCAACGTTGCCGGGGCATTTCTTGTAAGACCAACCAGTGAGTTTCAAAAATTATTTGATCACTTTGCTCCAGAGACACAGTGTTCTCGGATAAGAGCGAAAATCAGGAGGTCCTGCATTAAAGTCAATGAGTGAGATTACTTTAACCCTTTCTTTCTTGATTACTATGATTTTCACTTTCTCCACACTTGATAGGTAGAAACACGTTACATGGCAGTTGAAAATGTTACAGAATAGAATGGTAAACCGAAGTTTGAATAAAGTTGTAAAGAGGAGGAGGAAATAGCCTCACAAATGGATGGCAGCTGAAGGAACAGAGTAAAAAAAAAAGAAGAAGAAGACCAGTTTTACCGCCTTGAGATTTATTGTGCATATTGTGTTGGTCAATATGTTTATATACCAAATGACACTGGCACAGACGAGTGATTACACATACAATCACACACACAGTCACACACATATGCAAATAATCAAACATTTATATACACAGTAACACACATACAATCAAACACATACAACCACACATATACAGGCAAACACATACACTCAAACACATACACAGTCACACAGAAACACACACGCACAGTCACACATACGCACACACTAGTAAGTGTTTATATCTTTCCACAGATTTGACATCCCATCAGACACCAACGCCTCAGACTATGTTGTTCACGTAAGACTGTTTCACACTGGTAGTAGACGTTTGAGTGCTTAATAATGGTAGTGGAATCTTGCGCGTGCAAAGTTTGTGACAGGCGTTTATTAGTTTAACATTAGTAGTGGACATTTGATTGTGTAACACTGGCATAACACGTTTGAGCGTGTAACATTCGTAGTGGACATTTGATTGTGTAACACTGGCATAACACGTTTGAGCGTGTAACATTCGTTGTGGACGTTTGATTGTGTAACACTGGCATGATATGTTTGAACGTGTCACATTCGTTGTGGACGTTTGATTGTGTAACACTGGCGTGATATGTTTGAACGTGTAACATTCGTTGTGGATGTTTGATTGTGTAACACTGGCATGATACGTTTGAGCGTGTCACATTCGTTGTGGACCTTTGATTGTGTAACACTGCTAGTTGACGTTTGTATCTGTACAATTAGTAGTGGACGTTTGAGTGTGAACACTGGCAGTGGACGTTTGATTGTGTAACACTGCTAGTTGACGTTTGAAGGTGTAAAATTATTAGTGGACGTTTCAATGTAATACTAATAGTAGACATTTGAGTGTGTAATACTAGTAGTGGAATTCTGAGTATGTAACATTGGCAGTAGACGTCTGAGTGTGTAACATTTGTAGTAGACGTTTGATTGTGTAACACTGCTAGTTAACGTTTGAAGGTGTAAAATTATTAGTGGACGTTTCAGTGTGTATTACTAATAGTAGACATTTGAGTGTGTAATATTTGTAAATGAAGTTTGAGTATGTAACATTGGCAGTAGGCGTCTGAGTGTGTAACATCTGTAGTAGATTTTTTGAGTATGTAATATTGGTAGTGGACGTTTGAGTGTAGTCTGTAACATTGGTAGTAGACTTTTGAGTGTGTAACATCTGCAGTAGACGTGTGTGAGTGAGTAAGTAAAGAAGTGAGTGAGTGAATGGGTGAGTAAGTGTTTGTTCAAGCCTGGGACAGTAGTATTGAGTAAACAATTTAATTGGTGAAAAATTCAGAGACGCATTTACTTTTTTTTTTTTTTTTTTTAAACAATATCAGGCCAAGTTTTAAAATAACTTGGCCTGACAATTACAAATGCGGTGGATACTCATCTTAGAACACGTTTAGGCATATCACGGGGTATAAAACTGAGAGCAATTAAATTTGTAGTAGACAGTCATGTTTTCATTAAATCATTTGAAATCTATCAGATAGACCACATTCGACACCTGTTCGGCTTTGGAACTGCGGCTCGAAGCGACTTCATCGTCCATGAGGACTATCAACAATATCGTGACGTTTTGTACAGCTTGTTCAACTCGGTATCAATAACTGACTATGATTGGTTCCGCGATCAAGGCACTGCGGTAAGAAGTTTCTACACAAAAGCTGGACGAATCTATAATATCTACAGCTTCATAATATTTACATTAAAGAAAAAAAAAAAGCATCCACACATAAACTGGACATTTATAATATCTTGCGACGTTACCTTAATCACAGTTTCCTTGCTCACCACATCATTTAAATTTCATATCTTGAAAGTTGCAGGACATGAGACAATAATATAGCTATTTGTTCACTAAGAAGAATATACAGACAATTCACTCGCATGTTAGCCAGAAAAAAATTATGGCATCGAAACAGTAGGAATAATATAAATACTAATTTTCTGGTATCAATGTGTAACTGTTTGATTGTTGAAGTGGATTTAGAGGATTTGTTCAGTTTGGACTAGTATTCGAAACGAACTTTAGAAATGTCAGTACTATTTGTAAACCAAGCAGTAAAACAAGCACACGAATGTTACAACAACAATTCTGATATAACAAGTGACCGCATATTATTCTTAGTGTTTCTATCATATAATTTGTTATACATATACTGTAGTGTATATTCGTCTTATTGCTTATCATTCGTTTTGTCCAGCCTTTACCTTACACTGCACTATTCATAGTGTTATTGAAACGCTCTTTCTTAACTATTTTACTCTAGCTTAAAATATTAAAACTATTATAGACTTTCAGCCGACATATCCTAATTCTGTAGGCATTTGTTGACTGGGCTAGCCTTCTAAGACCTCCTCAAATCTTATTCTCCGACTTTTATGTCCAAAGCATGTATGTGGGTTGAATATATATATATATATATATATATATATATATATATATACATATTCTTCTCCTTGTTCGCATTTACGAGCTGTAAACTCTTGCGGAAAGTTGTGGTTGTTCCTCCAACTCTGGGCTTTAGACATTGTTCCAGAAAATGATTTTTGCGCGCATAACAGTCTTTACAGACCTGGTTAATTTGTATGCAGACTTGTGGTTCCTTGCCTCTCAGGCAGATCCATTCCGACTTCAAAAGTTGTCACTAATCGGTCGACTCATACGACATGCTTGTTGAGGATAGGCAGGGAGTCCGTTCTTTTTTTTTTTTTTTTTTTCTGCACGATGAGGCCCCGAACTCACACGGCAAACTGGATATGCGATGAGTGACTCATATTGTTTTTGAAAACTCGGCAGGAAATAGTCAATGCGGTCAAAATCACCCCAAACTGCCACTGAAACCATACTCTGGTTCTGAATGCATCCTTCAGTGCAGTGAAACAAAGGCAATACTTTATTATCCATAACGTGTATTTGAATTAGTGTATATTGACTAAGCTTGTTTTCTTGTTACCGTTGTTTTTCCTAGAGTAATCCAGACTTTTCCAGAGCTGTTGCCGCCACAGATGAGCTTCTTAAAAATGGGTATGATTGTTAATGTGCTATTTATTG